TCCTTACGCTATTACTAGTATTTACCTATTTTACTCTTATAATTACTTTTTATTTTTTACATATACTTACCTTCTCTCTTACTTTAGCTATATATATATACCCTTAAACCTAAATGTAGTAAATATATTTCTATTAATGTCTAACCTTACCTACCCTATACCTTACCTTAACCTTATCTCTTTTTTTTATCTAATTCTTATATATCTATCTAAACTTACCTACCCTATACCTCTCTAATATTTACATAAAACTTATAACCTTAGAAGTATAAGGGACAGTAGCCTTAGGTTAGAAGGAGGTTTTAACCTCTTGCCCTTTAGTCTAGAAGTTGAGATCTAGCTTAAAGAAGACGGCTGACTTACCTGGGCTTGGCAGGTTATGCTAGTACTTCCTGCTTAACCCGTAGCGATAACTATACTAGTGTTTATGACTAAGAGATATGCGTTGGGCTAGCCTAGGAGGGCTAGCTGCTAGGTTAGTTGTACTGTAAGCTGGCTAGTATATAAACCTAAATCCTCTGGCAGGGACTAGAGAGTAAGCAGTGCTGCCTAGTATGGCATTATATGCCTAATAGCTGCCTGGAAGTTAAGATCTAGGTTAAGCCTAGGTATGGATCTATGCTAGGGTTTTACTATATTGCTTAGGTATAGGGAGTATAAGTTACCTAGCTAGCTAATAGCTACCTAACCTGTATGTAAAATAAAATAAGCAAGAACTAAGCCCCTAGGACGAATAGTAATAGTAACCTTATACTAATTTATATACTAATGCTATAGATTAGGGTAAAGAAAGGCATTTTATTTATTCTATTAACTATAAGCTAAAGGGTTATATGCAGGGTATAGGGGGGGTAAATAGGGGGGGGTTTTACCTGTAATTACTTAGTTATAAGTATAGGAGAGGGATAGCGTAAATAAGGAGGGGGTGCTATAAGAGGCCTAGGTAACCTATAGGCTATAATATATAGTAGAAGCTATGTAGAAGCCCTGATGGTTTGTTTTTCTTTCTTTTTATAATAAGGGCAGTAGTACAGTTAGTGCTTGTTGCCTTACTTTAGTCCCCTTTGCGGAAGGGGCTAACTAACCTATTTTCTATTACTAATACTAGCTTAAGACTGCTGGGGGTAATCTATGCAAGTTCCTACTTAGGTAAGCCTCTAATCTCTCCTTATGCTTTAGGGCTTTAGGAAAGGAAGTAACTATTTATATAAGGTACGTAGCCATTAACTCCTTATATATCCTGTGCCTTATTGCTTAGTATAGTGTAGGAACTACCTTATATACTAGGAAATTACCCTATATACTATATAAACCTACTAGGGTTTGTTCTATTATATTTACTTTAAAGCTCTTTTTTAATACTTATTAAGTAGGCTAAGGTGCTAATACGAGAGGAATAAGTATCCTTTTCTTCTCTGGTTTAACCCTACCTGCTAAGGCTATACTAAGGCTATTACCCTATCCTAGGGCTAGGCCTTATATAAATGCCCTGATGATAGGTAAGCCTACCCCCCCTGGGAGGCTTTATTACTAGTATTACTAACAGGGGTATAGAACTATAATTATTTTGCCCTAGATCCTTTTCCCTAACCCAGTTAGCAGTTTAAGTAGCTGCAGTAAGCGGAAAGGATAGGCTATAGCTGCCTTGAGTACAGTACAGGGATAACTACGTAGAACCAGAGGCAGCTTTAAGTTAACTTAGCTACTTAATATGCCCCTAGGAGCCCTTTCTGCTAGTAGTATTAAAGCCTAAGTACTGCTAGCTTATTTAAAAGAGGTACTATAGCGTTAAGGACTATAGCAGTTAGATTCTCTGTAGTGTATAGTTCCCTTGTTGCCCTATTGATGTACTTATAGCTGATAGCTAGCATAACTAGCTATACAGGCCTATCTGCCTATTTATATAACCCTAAAAGGTCTGCTAGGTCTAGCTATAATAGCAGGTATAATCCGTATAACCTTATACTAGAGTATAGGCTTTTGGGAAGGATACTTGCTTTACTACCTTACTGCCAAGGCCAGAGCCTACTAGGTTATACAGAGTAGTACGTTTAAAGAGTAGTTAGCCCTAATAACTGCTAGGTGTACTATATAGCCTAGGTATTTAACTAGAGCTACTCCTTACGTATAATGCAATTTAAGATTAGGTACTTGAGGGTATTGCTTTTTTAGTTAACCTATGCCTTTTTAGACCTGGCTGGATTTGCCTTTCTTTATATACCCTTTAAGACCGTTTTAGTAAGCTGTATACTAAAGCTGCTTTATGGGCTACTTTTTATTTTTTATAATATTTATTTATATAGGAAAATAAAAAAATTAACTTATAGCTACTAAACTATAAAACTATTTTATATGCTTTTTTTAGAAAGTTTATAAACTGACTATTTTAATTAAGGTAAATTATATAGTAGTGGTCTTATCCTTGTGTAATGCCTGTAGTGGCTATGAGAAGTAATTAAAGTTTAGTGTAGGGTAGGTAAGACTGGTGGGATTTTTTGGGCTAATTACGTAGCACGCTAGCTAACCCTAAGTGTAGAGTTAGGGTTATTTTGGGCCAATGAGTAACCTAACTTAGCCTTAAACGATTGAGTCTAAAAATTTAAGTAAGATTTTCTGTTTTAGTGGCTAATTGATGATGAATTGCCTGTTAATAGTTCCTAGGCCTTAGGCTTCTTTATAGGACCTATAGCGTTAAAAAAAGCCTTTTTAAAAGGGAAAATAAGGACTTTAAAAGAGGCCTTACTAGCCCTTTAAGACCTTTCTAAATAGTATACTTTACTCCTTCTTAAGGAAAGTATATAGCTTTTTTTAAGGTACTTATAAAGGCAGCTAGACTCTATAGGTCTAAAAGACCTATAAAAAGAAATAGATAGCTTAATTAGGCAGGCTATTATAGCCTTACTAGCTAGAGGCCTTAGTAACTGCCTTAAGGAGCCTAGCCTGGACCTAATAGCCCTTCCTATTAAAAAGGGAGGTCTTAAAATCCCCCTATACTAGGAGCTAGCTATATAGCTATATTAGGCAGCTAAGAAAGCCTTTAAACCTATCTTAGAAAAAATTAGAAAAAAGCCTCCTATAAATACAGGCCTTAGGCTAGGAAAAACAGCTTAGAAAGTACTAAAAAAGGCTAATAAGGCTAGGTTATAGAGCTTTCTTTAGGACTTACCTACTAGCTATAAGTAAGCTAGGCTAAAAAATACTAGCTATTTAGGCTATAAGTAGCTTAGAGTTCTGCCTATAAAAAAAGACTTATTTTTTATAGACTTTAAGATTATAAAAGCCTTAAGAAGCAGGCTTTTTTACTTTATTAAGCCTCCTAGCTTACCCTGTAGCTCTTACAGGGCTATAGTAGCCCTAGGCTATAAAGATACCTATAAGGGCGCTAATAGAAGGTAAATTGCAAGGTATAATAAGGTTATAGGGGCCTTTTATAAAGCCCTAAGTAGCCAGCCTGCTCTAGAGGTAGAAAAAGAACCTTTAGTAAATAAAGAGACTAGCCTTAGGGCTAATCTAGCTATAACCCTAGGAACAAGCTAGTATTACTATAATATTTAAATTATTACTATTTCTAAGGATTTAACTAGGGAGGACCCTTATAGTACCCTTACAGAGGCTATAAAGGAAAAGTGCTAGAAATATAGATTATTAAGGGCCTTCTTTTAGCTAATTATTATCTCTGCAGGCAGCCTTATAGACCTAGAGACCGCCAAGACCTATAAGAAGCTCTAGGAGCTCATAGGCCCTCTAGTAGCTACCCAGCTTAACGCCACTATAGGCCTAACCTTAACTAGAACTAGGGCTATCTTAGCAGCTTCTATAGCAAGAGAAATCCCTGTAGGCCTAGCTAGGTTAGTTTAAAATACCTCTAGAAGGTCTTCCTAGACCTCTCTTAGGCTATCTTAGCCTTATATCCCTCCTCTTAGCTTTTCTAGCTATATTTTTCTTTACCTTTTTTAGCTATATCTTTCCTTAGCTTTTCTAGCTATATCTTTCTTTACTAGCTTCTCTAGCTATATCCTCTCTTTTTACTGCCTTTTCCTAGCTATATCTCCTCTTACTAACCTTTCCTATTACCTCTCTTTTTACTTTATTAGCTATATCTTTCTTTCTATTTTCTTTACTTTTCTTTTATTTCTTAAGAAAAATTTTTACTTTTCCTTACTAGATCTTAGTTAGGGAAAAACACTATAGTAAAGATAGCTTAGATAGTTAATATTAACCCTATCCTAACCCTAATATTAAGAATTATAGTATTATAAATACTTTTTTTAATCTTATAATTATATTAAAAAGATAATAACTACTATATAGTATCTTAAATAAAAAACTTACTATCTTTTTATAGAATTAACTTAACTTATTTTAGCTATAGACTATTAATATATATTTAGGGAAGTATTTTTATAATATTATTAAGTACTATTTTTTTCTAACCCTGAGCTTTATATGCTTTTATATTTCCTTTTAGGTTAAGATATTAAAGTAAATCTAGTATATATATTTATTTTTTATTATATTAGCTCCAGGAAACTAGCAAGGGTACTATATATATTTAAACGTAATAATATTAGTTACTGCCATAAGCTACAAATAAGGGTATAATGTTATTTAGTAAGTAGCATTTAAACAGGCCTTAGTCTTAAACTGGATTAATAATAAAATATAGTAAAGAAAATAAAATAAAGCCTGTAAATTAAAATTAAAATAGAATTAATACTTACTAGTTATTTAATTATGCCTTGGACTACTGTTTTATTTACTTTTTATTTACTTAACTATTATAGTTAATTTTTAGCAGATTTTAATTATTGTTTTCTAGTTAGCGCTTAAATTTAATAAAGACATTTACAATCCTGCTAACCCTGTCCCTACTTGCACAACTGATCACCGTTTCAATCTACCTGTTAGGGTTCACCTTTGGGCCCCTGCTAATTGCGCCTCTATCAGAGTTGCACGGAAGGTACTGGATATACAACGTTTGCAACCTGGTTATATTGGGTATGACTATAGGCTGTGCAAAAGCTCCCAACCTGGGAGGTTTCATGACTTGCCGCTTTATTGCTGGTATAGCTGGTTCTGCTCCGTTGACAATCGGGGGCGGCACGATTGCCGATGTGACCTACCCGAACAATAGAGCCAAAGCAATGGCGGGTTGGGCTCTTGGGCCTCTCCTCGGACCCGTAAGTGCATTGTCCCAATTTATTCTTTTGTTTTCTGTGCTGACGTTAAGTACCAAGGTCCTTGGTCCAATTGCTGGTGGCTTCATAAGTGCTAATCTAGGCTGGCGATGGACGTTCTGGATACTTACAATTCTGGTAAATAGTATTACCACTATGAACGGTACAGACTCCTTGACTGACTTGGGCAATAGAGTGGTGTTAATACCATCATCTGCGCCTTGTTCATGCGAGAGACCTATGCACCAACCATCTTAGCCCAACGAGCCGCGCGACTTCGCAAGGAGACTGGCAATGAGAAACTTCGGCCAGCTGGAGCTCGCTCTATCAGCACCTCGACCCTTATCCTGCAGACCATCACCAAGGCCATCACCATGCTCTTTACCAGTACCGTTTTGTTCGTACTGTCACTGTTTAATGCCTTTGCATTTGGGCTTCTATACCTTCTATTTACTACCTTCCCCCAGGTCTTCGAAGGTCAGTACAGCTTCAGCACCGGCGTCTCCGGCTTGAGTTACATTGGAATCGGTATCGGCATGTTCATTGGTCTCTTTACCTTCGGTATTACCGATAAAATAATGAACGGCAAAAATGCAGCTCCCAAGCCTGAGACTAGGATCGTGATGACAATGGTTGCAACTCCACTGCTTGCGGTTGGCTTGTTCTGGTACGGTTGGTCCGCAAAGGAGAAGGTCCACTGGATTGTTCCAATAATAGGAACCTCCTTCGTCGGATTCGGTATCTTGGCTATCATGGTGAGTAGACCCGGGCCAAACAACATTTCCCGCCTTACAATTCTAACCTTCGTCTCGTCTAGCTGCCCTCTCAGCTATATGTTGTGGACCTTTTTGGCGCAGAAGGGGCTGCTTCAGCTCTTGCCGGGCTCGCTGTGTTCCGCTCTTTGTTTGCTGCATTCCCTCCTTTGGCCGGACCTCCTATGTACGATAATTTGGGCCTTGGCTGGGGCAATTCGGTCTTGGGCTTCCTCGCTGTAACCTTCATTCCACTACCTATCCTTTTTTACAAATTTGGGGAGAGATTGAGGAACAGGAGTTGAAACAGTTCCATGGTGTTGGCGTAACAGCGGATAATTAGAACTAATAGATAATTGATTAATTGATACTTAAATTTTATGACATCTCAAAGAGACATCAAGACAACACACTGAAGACCCCCAATTGAATTCAGCTTCTGGAAGGCAATCTGCGCGCACATAGCTTACGGCATTTTCCGTCACTACCTACCCCGGACTAGATAAATGATAAACGCTAAATCTAATTAGCGTGCCTTACAGTCATTGGGCACATGATACAGTTTTCCCCGCGTTTTGACGAGTGGATCTTATTTCACCCATAATTTGTGGGAATTGCTTGCTTTGCTTTATCCAGGGTTCTTCCTCCACTCCTTTACCGGCCGAGCAGTCATGGACAAGACGCCGAGACGCCGAGCCCACGGGCAAAGGTCACGCACTGGATGGTATAAGCCTGCCTCCGGCACACTGAGTTGCTCGCTTGCTTACACTTGTTACCTACTGCTTCTAGTCTACCATGCCGCATCCAGAAGATCAAGTGCGACGAAACCCAACCCTGCTGTCAACAATGTTGTAAGCGTAATCGCGCATGCAACATCTCAAGCTCCCGATTTCGCGTCTATAGTCGCGCCTCTGATCCTGGTCCTGGAACAACTCAGAAGCCGTCAAAGCCACCAGAACCTGACCTGATTGATAACAGTTGCCGCGATGTCGACGACGACAGTTTCAACACCCATGGCAGATCTTGGCACTTACTTACTCGTGAAGATACCGTGGCTCTAGGTCTTGACGTGAGTGCCGAGACGCCCAGCGACCCCAGCCCAATGTCAAATACTGTCTATGACGCGGGTTGCATTCTGGCACAACTGGCGAGCCCACCCGCGGTCCATCTTAGTGAAGCTCAACCTCACAGGGCGAGTGTAGCCACCACGCCCGACAAATCGGGCACAATGAGCTCATCTGCATCAAACGGCATGGCAGTGCAACCAGAAGCGCCTGGCCGGGGATTCAACATTCCAGAGGCATCGGACTTTATCGTCTCGCCCTCTACCGTTCAAACATACGACAGTTTTCTGCATTTACCAGCAATGATCGCGACGCATGCTCTCACACCATCCGAAGACCGCACAAATGCCAGAGGCGTGCCTTCGGCGAATATGATAGACCAGAAATCGGAGATTATACCAACCGACCCTGAGCTGTCCTTTTTCTTGAGGCAGTTTGCTGACACAATGGGAAACTGGTAGGCTGCACCAAACCTCAAGACCGTCACATTACATCCTGATCATTTCAATAGGATGGACTTGTTCGATATGGATCAGCATTACCATAGAGTCATTCCAATACTCGCATGGAGTAGCCCACTTCTTCTCTATTCTGCTTGTGCCGTGGCAGCCAAGCAGCTCACTTTAGTTGAACCCACTCCACAGGAACTGAAGCCACGGTCCCATATGCAGTCCTGGCAAGCCGGTTCCCATGAGGATTTTGCATGGCATAGCACCAAGTACTACGATCGTGCCATCTCGTTACTATTGAGGTATGTTTCCAACCTCAGTTCAGGAGATTCTGGGGCGGTAGCTTCAGAGCAACAAAACGACAATGATCACGATCCCAAACCATGTAGAAATGAGATTATCATAGCGGCCACCATCTTATCAGTTTACGAGTTTCTCACTGCCAGTGACCAGACGTGGTCTGAACACCTTGATGGTATCCGATCTTTCATTCGTCTATCGGACGAACTGGGCTTCAATTTTCAGCCGACATCAGCAAGCCCTATTCTCGATCCTCTGCCACCGAGTCTTCTACGAGCTGCCTGTTGGAACTTTGCACGGCAGGACTTTCTTGCAGCTTGTGAGTCATATTCTTTTTCTTTTCTTTTTGTTGGCATTCCTGGACGTCACTGCTTTCCTACTAAGGCAAAGCTAACGCAGTTAGTGATCAATGGCCACAAGACTCGCCTCGATACCGAAAATCCAGTTATCTGGCGGCGAATGGGTCTAAGCGTCTCTGAAGATGGGAGACCAATGGCCCACGTGCATTCCAGTTCCCCAGAAGATGCCTGTTCGCAGGCTTTACGGCCTGACATAATATCCAACACACTTGTATGGCTTCTCTCAAAGCTAGCCAACTACGTTGCGCTTGCTACCGACTCAAGACAGCAGGCAGACTCGACGAGAGTTCTAGAGGCTACGTGGCTCTCTTTGAATGAGGACTTTGGAACATGGCATCAAGGGCTACCCTCTAGCTTTCGACCATCATACCGGGTACGATACACGTCTCGTCACGGTGCTGAGGGGTGCCAAAGGTGTAGGCATCAGCCTGAATCTTTGATCAGTTATGAGACGTGGTACAGTAGCAGTATGTGTGCCTCTAGCATGCAGTCCTATCACATGAGTCAGATACTCCTCTTGATCCACAAGCCGGAGAGCCTAGCAGTTCCTGTTTCACGACCCTCTGCCTCAGGGAGCCCCGCCGATGCCTTAGCCAAGTTTAACCTGATGAACCGGGTGCTGCAGTATCATGCTACAGAGATATGTGCTATTGCCTTATCTAGGCCGAAGGAAGCCGCGAGAATACATATGTTGCAGCCTGTTTACCTCGCGGGCCGTTGTCTACACAACAAAACTGATCGTGCTATTGTTCTTATGCTGCTTGAGTCCATTGAGACCGAGTTAGGGTGGAGCTCACAATACCGGGTGAAGGACTTACTTAGAGAATGGGGCATGGATCGGAACGAGATCGTGGATTGCTGTGATTGATCGTCTTGTGGTTGGTTGGATACTGATAGCGGGATTTGAAGCCACATGTGTTATCTGTGTATCGTTCTGGCAATACCATAATTACAGGCGAATATTCTCTGAAATGAAGTTCTTCCTTATCTAGATACACTCATGTACTGATTCTTTTTACATTATCTACTTGCGAAGGATAAGGCAAGCTTGTCATTCAGTAGCTGCCACACGGATGACACTGTACTCTTGTCCAAGACGAATGAAAGACTGGCAAAAGCTGGCAACAATGCCCACAAGGGAGAAATGCTGCGGCCGCTCTTGAGGTCACACACAAATCGAAAGTCTCCCCAGCGAATAAATATACTTCTCAGCCAAAAGTGCCACTGCCACTCAGGGTATATCAATAGGTTCTTGCCCGTCTTTGGCTCAACATACCAGTTGCTGCATCCCGACGACCAGACCAAGCTCTTACACTTGGACTGGATCCATGAGTTCTCTTCATCTTCGGCCTGCTGTTTGACTTGGACAGCCTCCACCTTTTGCGAGGGCCAAAGAGATAGCTTTGGCGGGTGCAGTGAGCGGAGAACGGGATCGATAACGCGGAGGGTAAAGTTGATCTGACACTCGGTCGACCATGTGACTGACAGGTGACCAGTGAGTGTGTTGGGGCCCATCATGATGAACATGTTTGGGAAGCCGGCTATACAAGTTCCGTAATAAGCTTGGGGGAGTCCATCATTATGCTTGTTCCACTGTTGGAACCTGTCAGTGAGTCACTTGATATATATATAGTAAGGGTGTGCGTGCAACATGAGTGCTTACATGGTCTTCAACGCTGTTCCCTTCGAGACCGATGATCTCAATCGGAGCGAGCAGTTTTGTCGTCTCAAAGCCGGTAGCGAGCACAATAGCGTCAGCTGGGAGTTCCTTGCCAGAGCGGAGAAAGACGCTACGACGACCGATCCGCTCAACAGGATCGTCTGAGATAAGATGGAGGTTAGGCCGATGTAACGCCTCGAGATAACCCGTGTCAAAGACGCGGCGCTTGCAACCAACTTCGAACTTGGGAACCAACGTATCGACATACTCGGCTGGTGCATTTTCTCTAATGTACTTTCTAGATGCCTCGCTCAGCTTCTGACGGGCATTTTTGCCGGTTACAGTATTAAACATAAGCCACTCGGCCTCGAGTTGGGCGTAGATGACAGTGCGGAGTAGCATCATGGCACCAGGAACCCAACGCATCATGAAGCGGAACAGGGCGGAATACTCTGGATTTGGACGCTCGAGTAGCCAGTGCGGTTGGCGCGCAAACTGGGTGACGCTCTTGGCAGTCTGTGCAATGACGGGCACGAACTGCGTGGCGCTGCAGCCGTTACCAAGTACCACGACATTCTTGTTGGCGTGGTCGAAGCTGTGGTCCCACGTCGCAGAGTGGAAGATGTTGCCCTCGAAAGTCTCATGGCCGGGGACCTCGCACTTCTTGGGGATGCTGAGAGCACCGACGGCTGTGATGAGGATGTTGGCTCGTCTTTGGGTGACTTTGTTGGTGCGATGGTTGAGGATCTCAACGAGCCACGTGCTAGACTCGGACTGCCACTCGGCCTTGGTGACGCTATGCTGGAGACGTATGTGAGAGTCGATGCCTTGCTGGCGCGACACGTCTTTGAAGTAGGCCAGAATCTCAGGCTGCATGGTGAACTTGCGCGTCCAATGCGGGTTCAGGCCAAATGAGTATGAGTAGAAGTGGGAGGGGACGTCAACTCCGCAACCGGGATATGTGTTCACGGCCCAAGTTCCTCCAACCTCAGCGCCTTTCTCGTAAATTTCAAAAGTGGCATGTTTGTACTTCTTCTGCAGTTGGATGGCGAATCCAATACCTGACATGCCAGCGCCGATAATTAGGACGTTGGTATCAGCGGCAATCATTGTCATGAGAGCAAGGTTGATCGAGGATGAGGAGATACCAGTATTGGTCAAGAAGACAAGAAATCATAAGAGGGAGAATAAAGATATCTAGCTTTTGCTTCCTTCTACCAGAAACCAATATTTCCTGGCGTCAAATTTGCTGGTATCATAGAAAGGCTAGGATAATAAAGTCTTCATGAGCGCCGTATAAGGTCTTACCTTGATTGATCATGCATTCTTCTTGAGAGCCACGCCAAAACTACCCTTTTCAGATGGCTAGTGAGTTTAGCCAAGTGACAACGTCCATTTAGTACCCGGCATTGCCGTCCTAGCCGCCATTTCCAGCCATGTATGATACAGCTGCCGATCTAACGCCTAAATCTCCAAATCGGGAGATTTTATCCTCAACTGGATGGTATTTTTGAGCACCCCTTCATCATTGAGTTGTAATCGGCTCCGCACTTTACGTCCGGTCACATGCATATCATCTTCCGGGAGCTAGGAGGAGAGCCAGTTTACTCAAAACGCGGGGAACCAGTCGGAAAGATTCCTACTCCTCTTTCAAACTAGCTTATTCTTCGTCATCGCTCTCAGTTCTGAGGAATCCTGAACTGGCCATTGATTGATACCTAGAGCTTATGACGTCTCAACGAGACATATCAAGCCAATAAACTGGCCATCTCTGTGAAAGTTCAACACAAGCTCCGAGTGAAGTTGATAGGCAAGTGAGCTGAAAAACACCAGTTCGGTATTTGGCACCTCTCCCAACTGAAATATCCCCAGTATCCCTAATACAAGAAACAAAGACATCGAGACAAGGGCCACAGGAGACGTCTTATCCTTGGCAGATAGCGGGAACGGCATCGCATTTACCGGCCTGTCGTATAGCATCTTTCTGATAATGTGAAAAAGAAACTGATAATCAATTGATTCGAATAATTTGTAACTATGTTTTTAATAGAGATTGATAGCCCATCTCAGCTATGCTTCTTTTGTGAAAGTATCCCCCAAACCTCATCGATGCCCTTCCCCAAGCCACTGACGGTATGTCCCGAGCCAGATGGACCAACATCATTGAGAACATGGACCTCTCTTGTTTGACCTTTTCCAACTTCCAAAACCGTTCCTCCAACATATTCATCCTTCTCAACCAGACTGAGCATTGCCAGCGCAACATCCTCAGGCTCTACCCATTCGTCTTTTGCGCCATCAATCCACGCCAGCTTCTCTGGATGCTCTGTCCACAGTGGAGTTTTGATGACTCCTGGTGCAACTGCTGTCACACGAATGCTAGCCAAGCCGGTACTTGCAGGAGGTGTCTCGAGACCTGCGAGCGACCGGACGAAGTGGGAGATTCCGGCCTTGGCTGCACAGTACATGGGCACCGACAAGACTGGGCCTTGTGCTGCGATAGACGAGATGTGCACTATAGATCCTGGTTTCTTGTTCTCTGTGAAATGCGTAATGGCCTGTTGGGTTGAATAGATCGGGTGCGTCAAGTTGATGTCAAGGCTTGCGAAACGACTTGCGCTGTGCACATCCTTTGACAACTCTGTGCCGACTGGGTGCCAGAAGTTGGAGAAGGGCTAGAAGACGTCAAGGTTTAGTTCGTACAAAGGAGAATGACCGACGACTTGAGCCATACTTACTGGATCGTATACGCCAGCGCCGGGACAAACAATGTCATACCCCCCAAACTCCTTCTTAGCAACCTCAAATGCGTAGTCCAGTTGATCCCATTTCGTGACATCGGTCGGCTGGTATAAAGCCTGAGAAGGGAAGGCCTTCAGCAACTCGCGCGCCTCAGGCCGAAGAGCAAGGTCGGCCATCACAACATTGCATCCTCGCTCGAGGAGGACCTTCGAGAAATGATAGCATATTCCCGAGCCTGCACCCGTGACCACAGCGGTTTTTCCCTTGACCGTGAATGACATTGTCCTTTCGTGATGTATATTTCTCGCTCAAGGTCAAAAGAAACTCGATGAATGACTGACGATCGCAAGCAATCTTGTGTAGCTGACGCAGAAACGGGCTCGGCTATGTAGTCACAAATAAGCGGAATGCACAAAAGGTCACGGTTTGATTTGAGGGGGCGGAATGCATGGGTCCCAGTCTACACTCCACACAGAGCGTGTTGGCAACTCATGATATGACTCGGACTCGAAAATATGCTTTCCCACGATACCAACCCCGCGGGGTTCTCACGTGTCATGCATATTTAGGTGTTATTATGTAGTTCGAAGACGTGGAGGGGTTGATGGCGATACGTCGAAAGGTTGCACCCAGCGCTTAAATTTCCACATTAGGAGTCATACCAATGTCTTTTGCAACCGAACCCCGCAAAGATCCTCAATTCACCGCAAATTTTACTCAGTCGAGTCTAGTTTGGCCACTGAGCACCAGTCCATAAGCGGAAAAATAAGAGTGCCGACTCGGCTAGCGTTACCCCGGAATTTAGTAGTCAGCCCCCAGATTTCTGGGAGTCAGAATGCGGAGAAGTCAAGGTTACAAACAGGCTCCCGACCAGTGTGAGATCTTAATTCGCCAATGAATATGCTGATCATGTATCAAGGCCCGCAGTCTTTTTCACATCAAAGGAATTGAATTGGCTCTTGGCGTCCAAGTACAAAAAGCGATCTACAACCCATTTCCACCTTATACATCTTATACATCTTACAACACATGGTCCTTATTTTGCAAACCATCCATAAGCATTTGATAGCAGCCTCATCAACCAAGCACAACTCACCAGCCCCTGGTGACTGAGAATACGTCATGGGCCGAAAGTACCTGGGCGGCTCTGGAGAGAGCCTGACCGTTTGGATCAGTCTCGCAGCATCAACTGTGCTAGTCTTCTATGGCTACGATCAGGTATGAGAAGCAAGCAGAGCATCCTGGAAGACAACCCTCGCTAACAAGATCAAATTCAGGGTGTTTTCGGTAACATTCTTGTTTCCAGAGATTTCATCGAGACCGTGGGCCATCCTTCCGTCTCGGCCCAAGGCACCATGACATCTGTATACAACCTCGGCTGTTTTGGTGGCGCGCTCTCGACGCTATACACAGGTGATAAGCTTGGGCGACCCAGGTCCCTCATCGTTGGAAGTTTGATCATTGCTCTCGGCGCTATTATCCAGGCTACTGTTTTTGGCCCAACGCAGATGTACGTTGGACGCGTTGTAGCAGGTAAGGGCTTGGCTCCTCATATCGTGCATTTGTAAACAGACATTGCTGATACTCATGCCTCAGGTATCGGAACCGGAATCAACACCTCAACTGCTGGTGTATGGCAGTCAGAAACAGCAAAGACCGCCAGCCGTGGCAAGCTTATTATTATCCAGATGGCCAACTGTATCACGGGTTTTTCCATCTCCAATTGGTTGACACTCGGCTTCTCGTTCGTTCCAGGAAGCGCCAGTTGGAGATTCCCTCTTGCATTTCAGATCTGTGAGTTCTGTTCTATCTATTCTTATATAAAAGATCTCCGTCGCTAATTTGCATGCCAAGTCTTCTCTGCCCTCGTCTGTCTTATGTGTCCTTTCCTCCCCGACTCTCCGCGTCTGCTTATGCGCAAGGAGAAACATGAGGAAGCTCTTGAAGTCCTGGCGGCGCTTGAAGGGCATGGTGCTACTGTGGACTCACCCTCAGTACGAACTCAATATGCCATCATCAAGGACATCATGGACAAGGAACATGGTGATGAAACTACGTGGTGGCAGCTGATCACCGGGCGTGGTCCATCTGGTGCAGTAAGGAGAATGATCCTTGGCGCATGGATGCAATGCATGAACCAGGTTAGTTCTATTGTTGCTTGTCTCCCTCACTCACCATTCAATTTGAAGGAGAGACTAACCTGGAGTACTAGATCTCGGGCATCAACGTAACTAGCTACTACATGACCTATGTCTTCATCAATGCCCTCGGCCTCAGCGAATTCATGGCCCGGGTTCTTGCCGCTGCTGGCTCGATTGACTACCTGGTCTTCTCCTTTCTCGCCTGGTTTGTAATTGAGCGTTACGGTAGACGTCGCGTCATGATGGTGTCTGCTGCCGCTTGTGCTGCCTGCTGGACCATCATCTCAATTGCCGCCTCCCAGATCGAACTCGGCCACGGTAACCGATTCTCGTGGGGTTGTGCTGCCATCTTCGGTTTCTTTGCTTTCTTTGCGGCGTTCGGTATGGGCGTATTGGCAGTGCCGTGGCTTTATCCTACAGAGGTGAACGCTTTGGCTTTCCGGGCCAAGGGTGCTAGCTTGGCTATGGCCTCCAACTGGTAGGTCAACATCGTGATTTCTGGCAACACTTACTAACACCATGGTATAGGATCATGAACTATATGGTTGCTCAGATCACACCTCCAGGTATTGCCAATCTTGGGTACCGTTTCTGGGTGATATGGGCTGTCATCTGCGCTGCCTTCGTGCCAATCACCTACCTGTTTTACCCCGAGACTGCAAACCGTTCTTTGGAGGACATTGACCGATTCTTCGCCGAACACCCGGATATTTTAGTCTTCCGCAATAAGACTGCCACTCAGCTCGCAAGGCCTGACATTTACTTCGAGGCGGATAAGGCTATCGCTGAGCAACAAAAGATCCGAGGGGACGTGGATGAGAAGAGCATTGCTAGTGCAGTTGAGAAAGAGTTTGCTTAAGAGTATAGTTGATTGCAGAGTGTAATGAGTTGACACAGCTAGATAAAATATTACTCCTAGCTGTAACACCAAAGAACTGACCTGTTCAAAATATTTTGATAGGCATCTGTATAATCGCCTACGTGACAAGGAGGTGGCTTTAATGTATCCTGACACGCCCATTCAATCAGATAGCTTTATAACTTCAACCCTTACTGCTCTGTCTCCTTGTCTGGCATTGTGGCGTCTGATCAATGGCTAATTAAAAGCGGGTAAAAACTTACCGAAATTTCGTAAAGCTATGTCCCCCGCATTGGCTAGTATTCCCAGCGAGGGAAATAACCCATCTTTTACCCTGTAGCTAAGCAGGATTTAACCTCATCAGATAA